TTCCTCTTTCCATACTTGTGCGTCCATTATTAGACTTTTGCATGCGTTATTCGAATCACAACCTGCAAGGGACAATAGTTCCCTTAAAATGCCACTTCGCTGCTTTTGAATCGAGATGGCGGTTTATTCACAATAGTGGTTGCATTCGTGCATCCTCAAAGGGTGACGTACATGACTTGGATTTGGTAAGCGTTAGACACTAGTTTCATTTGGTTTCGTTTTCATTCCATTTCGAGTGACTTTCCACTCAAATTTGACCGCACAGAGAGGTTTGGTTGTCGTATTTTATGATTGAACTTTGTGGTATTTCCTTTAGGGGTACCAGTTTTGGGAACTTTTTGAAACAATTTGGCGACTTATAAATTGCATACATTATTCTCTGCTAACGGTTTAATTTTTAATCCAAGGATATACGACTCTAGTCCTTATTATAAAAGACTTCAATGCAAAATAGAAAATACTGATTCAAACGAAGCTTTCATTGAAATCACACGACCACGAGTTTATTAGGCATGCAAGTTGTGCCATGAGATCTCACTGCTGATTCACACGTGGATGTGGGTACATCTGCTCTTCGGTTCGAACCGAGTCCCAAGAGCGACCGTTTTCGGAACAGCAGCATTCCGTTTCAAACTAGCCAGTAATTTTGCTATTATCCCTCCTAACTCGTCAAGCAGGAAGATTTACGACGCAGTATCCAAATTGGGATGGTAACGAATTTGGTTAGTTAAATGTAATTACTTTGCATCGTTTCTTTTGCAGTCATTATTCCAAACGTGCTATATCAGGCTTCACAAAAGTCTGACATGTTTTGGAAAGAATGTATGTTTTCTCCTTGTTAGGATGACCTCGACCTTTTTAACTTGGTCTTTCTTCCCTTTCCCAACCATCGACAAGTTTTCTGTGCATTATTCCGCTAGTCATAGCGTCAAATAGTAGGGTGTATTTTATTTCCCAAAAAAAACAGCTGCTGTCGTCAAAACCCTTACATTGCTGCTGAAAACGTTTTGATGTGGAAGTTAGTTTATGTTACTTATAAGCATGCTTTCCGAGGTGAAAACTGCTTTGTCGAATCTACCCACTTACCTATAAATGTACATGGTTGGGGAGATCTGGCTTTAACTCCCCTTCGCACCTATGCCATTACGACAAAATGAGGCCTCTGCTGTTCCACCCTCTTCTATAAGAGTTTGAATAAAACCAACATTTTTGCATCGCCTCACCACTACAGCTGTTTCGGTTTGGAAACTATCATTTAGTCTGTTTCATTCGACCAATTATCTCTCGGTTATCGTTATCTCAAATTTGGTTAGTGATTGCATTTCACTTTTAATATTTTGAAGTTGGGCTTTTTGTAGAAGGAATTGTGGTAAGGTTGATGAGGATTTCAGTTTATTTTGTTGAAATTCGTATGTGATGAAAACTCACTTTTTTTGCAATAAAGGCGTCTAAATCGTTACCGTTATTGTTCCCCTCTAGCTAAAAAAGAACGTTGGCCATAGTACAAAGTTCATTTGCAGTTTTTTTTTGAAAATACCTGTCATCAAAGCCTCGGCCTTCTGGCTTTCGCATTACAAATGTGTCATTTCATTTAGTTCGTCAGAAATCGTGGTTACTAGTGTTAGTCGGTGTAGCTAATAAATTTCCTGTAAATCAATTGATGCCAAGCTTCGACTCTTTCAGTTGATATCAAAGCAAATTTGCTTATCCTCCTACGTATTCCAGGACAGATTTCCGGTATCCTTTGTTCAACTGACGTTTTTTTCTTATCTTCACTGTCAGGTTCTTGAGTGCATTGAATCGTCTTTCGGAAAGTCGCAACGCGTGTCCAAGTTTTCCAGAGCCTTCGTCGAGAAACGTGCTAACCTCATGGGTACCACTGCTTAAGACGGTGGGCTTTGGGGCGCATCATTCTGCAGCCTAAAGTAACGGTCGCTCAAGTGTGCAGTTGCAGGAACTACTAGGTCTAGCATGTTTCCTTCTCTCTCAGCGCGGGATCGTTATCTCCTTTTCTTTCTCTCCAGTTTCTACCCCTTTCATCCCGTTCTACACTACCACCTAGTTTTACAGTTTCAAAACTGTCTGTTTCCGTGTGTGCGTGTATGTGTGTACTAGTGTGTTTCTTTCTGTGGCAGGCACCCATCGCTCCCTCATCTCGTTCTTCCTCTTGTACACATTGTAACTCTCTCACTTCACCCTACTTCTCGTTCTTTTTGAATGCGCACACAAGTTTCTATTCCAATCCACCCTCTGAAATCAGTCCATCCTCCGGATATCGTTCAGGACCTCCCTCCTTCTTCCTTCAGCCTTCGGCTTTTGAAGTCCCCTGAACACCACAATGAATCGGGAAAAAAACTACTTTTTATATCTGTATACAATGTTAAAAACCGATGGCGCATGAACCTGAGCATGACTGAAACCGGTGATGGAGTCATGGGCTCGTTTCTGATGGGGCTTGCGAGGGTGCCACCATGGAGACAGCTTGAGAGGCGAGGTCGGGAAAAAGCGTCTCGGCAGCAGTGGGCAACGTCGGTTCCCAGACGTGATGGCGTCGTATTATGTGATGCGTACAGCGGGTGGTTCCTCGGGGCGTCACCACTGATACCGCAGCGGTGGGGTTGTGGTGTTGGGCATATATGGGAAGCTTCCTGTTGATGGTTTAGGTGGTTGGTTAAGTAATGATGCGAAAATAAGAGGACGTGAGAAATCATTTCCTGATAGAAATCATGTGAAACATTATCTATAAGGAAAACCGAGCACGTCGTAAGTGTTGATGGAGGTAAGGATTCGTGCATCATAGCCCTAATTAATTACATTAATTAAAAAATTGCTTAAATATTGCGCGCGACTACAGTCTTATGCCAACACTTCGTGCCATGAAGAATTTTATAGCTACCTTTGGCAAAGCGAAACAACCGTATCAATCAATTTTTTCTTAAATAAAGGCATTGCCTTGTTTTCCTGGATCATTTTTAGTGTTTGCATTCGTGACCCTCACTAAGCGGTATTATAAAATATAGCTAGGTTAAACTGTTGTATCAAGCTGTTTCGCCAAATAACACGACGGATTTTGCAAATTTATTTATGCATTATAATTGGACATACCAACGTGGAATTGCTTATAGAACTAAAAAGTCCTAGTCCTTGCGAATGTCCAGAAGAGTACTAAGAAGTGCCTAGTGTTGTTGGCTTTGACGAGCATAAACTTTTTAAAATTTGACTGTTACGAAATCATTTCATAAACCTAACTTACCAAAAGCTAAAATGAGCTGCCTTTGAGAGCTGCTAATATTAAGATTCTTACGCATGTTCAAGTATACTTTTGGCATGGAAGTGGACTATTTCATAGCCCTTGCCTTTACTAATAAAGGGGCTAACTTTAAAGTTGTAATGAGTTTATCATTTTTTAGAGAATTGTCATCAATAGTTACAAACCCATGGATCCAATCATGAATTCTGATTTAGTGAGAGGAAGTCCTTGTCATGATCCAATGCAGATAGATCGAAGCAGCGAAGATAAGTGAGCCTTTGCTTTGAGTCCAGTCGCTTGTTGTTGGCTATAAACATGTCTAAGGCACTGTGGCATTAATTTTTCGGTATTTTCAAGTGCTCAAATTAATGGTTTTGATGAGTGTACGTGCCAACATTATGTTTTAAGGAGTTCAGAATAAAAAGCTTTGTCCTTTTAATGCGGCCAGCACCAACTACGAAGATAAAGATCAAAAATGGTTTAAGAATAAAAACTTTCGCCATCCTACCGAATCTTTGACAAAGTTACTTCTTGAACAAATAAAGGAGCAGCATTTACAGGTTGGCCGAAATCCTTGAAAAATGCTTTTACTGATATTTGTTGTACTATTAGTTAACGTTTATATGTAAAATATTTAGAAGCATTTGATGATCTCACAATGTCTTTTATCTTGATCAGATGCCTAAGCGTTCCCTTTTTTTGGTCGGGAACTTAAGAGTGTTATTTATCGTCTGACAGTTTATATTAGACTTATAAATATGTATTTGAGGCTCTGCGCTTAACATAGGCATCATTTGATAAGCAAGTTGAATTTACTTCTTTTAGTCTGATGGGATTGGATGAAATCTTCCTTCAAATTTACATATGCACTTAGAGCCAACGAAGATTTTAAAAATTATCACATAATTATTGTGCCTCCATCCATTACATTTGCCAACCTAAAATTCCATTTCCTGAACACCAATTTACTAAAGTAGGAACGTGGGTTCTCAAAGCTTTACGTGAAGTAGTGATGCAAGTGTCTTAGCTTCTTAACAAGTAAAAAACATCTAAAAATTCTTTTGAAGTTCCATTGTCTTTGCGGCGATACAATACAACACATATTTGCAAGAAAATTCAAAGATTACGACTTAGACGGATGTTAAATTAATTAATTGCGGTACATTTCGACACGTTGTGCGTTAAAATGCTATTAGTTTAGTGGGTCCTTTATTAGTTAGACTTTGTTAAAATCAGAAAATTTCTTTTATGTCAACATGATTTACTGCTGACTTATGAAACAGTATAAGGGTTCTCAATGCTGTTATAAAGCGTTACGATGGTAGAAAATCAACATTCACTCCAACCGAATACCAGTCGCAGCTGTAAAAAAATACTCAATGTGATCAGTTGGTGAGATGACCTGAGCTAGTGAGTCTACGAGTGCATTGCAGCTTGAGCTCTTTGAACTAGCGTCTGTAGACACTGATAACTTTGATTTTTAAAACTATACCGTTAAGTGTGGACAGAAACGTAACCAAATTTTTGATGGAAATGCATAAATGAGAGGCCTCCTGCATGCTTCAAAATGAGGTATTAGTGGGAGAGGATAAATTAAGTTGAAGTCGCTTGTACTGTAGTGCGGGCAACTATTTAGCCTTGACTAAGTTTTGGAAAGGCTTTAACACTAGAAATCGGAAAGGGGAACATTTGATAATTTTATAAGGGAACTGAGGGATCATCAAGTTATTTCTCGCAGTAGATCACGGAAATGCGAGTCAATGAGGCTCGTCATCAAACAGGGATTGAAGAAATCAGGAGAAGTTATGACAAGGAGCTCCTCCGTTTACAATCCCTCCTTACAAAGCGTCAGGTACTAAACTAATTAGAATTTATTTATGCAGGGGCATGTCTTATTTACCTGCTAAGTGATAGTTCTCTATCTTTTAAGGCGGCATTCTCGAATGTTGGTCTCATCGAATTGTCAAAAGAAGAAAAAGACCTTAAAGGAGAAGATTATAATTTTTACGATAAAGAGAGCACTCCCAAAGAGATCGAACTTGAGAAGGAAATCGCACTTCAAAATCATTTGATCGAAGGCTTTCAGAAGGAGAATGAGGCTCTCATGAAGGAAAATAAGGATTTGAAACAGGTATCTTCAATTTCCCATCAATTATTCAAAGCTATTAAAATGCATAGTCCTATTAATTTTTTGTATAAACTCTCCAATATTTGTACAAAATGCTTTTCTGCTTTCCTGCAATCTAGTGAGAGTCTAATTTCTCAGCTAAGTTAAGTTAGATCGGAACGTCAGGATTTTGCGAAAAGATGGTAGGATAGAAGCGTTTGTCACTCAGTCATCTTTTCCCCTTCATTCAAATTATTTCAATGCTTTGGACCATTTTTTTTCAACAATATGGTTTGGTGTTCTGTCACAGTTACATAACTTCCCACTTTGAAGGTAGTGACTGCTAAGGCGAAGCCTAGTTGGGGTAATTTTAGCAGACTCGTAAAAATATGAATTAAGTAAACCTTTTTGTCTCTAGAAACAAGTGATTACGGGGGCCAGTGAAGTCCTCATTACTATGAGTCTATCATGTCGAGGTAAAATGTCAAAATATTAACCGTCAAGTGTTTGTGTATTACAAGAAATTGGCCTCAACATTAATCCCCTCCGAGGATGCAAATGCGATTGCGGAGAGGCTGGTGCACGAGAATGCCCGTCTGCAAATTGACTTTCAACAAGTCAAAGACGAGTTGAACGCCTTGAAATCCGCACAGGATTTGGCTTCTAAGAAAGGTGAGAAGGATGTCGGAAGAATAACTTCCCTAAAGGGTGACTGTTAGTCATCAAGATGCAATTCATCGAAAGTATTTTGCTGTAAAGGCGAAAAGAGTGCCTTTTCTGATGAATTTTTGCGAAATAAAGTAACGACTTTGGCTACCTGTTTAAAGCATCTCTTGGGTAATCGCCGTGCTTGCGAAAAATATTGTCGCAAGAGGTGCTGCCAACTTAATAGTGTTAGCGATCTCACAGTGAGGAACTTCTCCTAAACACGGATTCAAAAATTTTAAAAAAACGTATTTATTTTATAGATAATAATGCTCAGGACATACAAGAAGAGCTAGAAAAAACCATCAGAAGGCTTGAAGAAGAGAGCTGCCAAAATCGCGGGTTTCAAGACTCCCTTTGTAAACTAGAGGCTGAGGTAACCGCATACTTTCCTCACAAGCTGCTCTTTACAAAGCTTAAACAAACTAAAGAGGAACAATCGAGATTACAAGAACTTCTTTCAACGTCGGACTCAAAATGGGCTCAGGAGGTGAAGGATCGTCAACGTCGCATCGTGGCCTTGAACGCGGAATTGAGGAGGGTCCGACAGGACCACATTGTAGCAATGCAAACAGTGCAGGAGAAGATGCGGTGGCAAAATCACACTCAGACTATCTCCAGCCGACATTTGTCTACGATCAAGAAACAGGTAAAGGCTTTTATCACAAACCTTATCAGTACTGCTAATACGTGCTAAAACACTTCATTTTGGATTATTCCAGAAGCTTAAAATGTTAAAGTTTAAAACAGAATTGGAGAAGAAACAAAGTGTGCCGTCTGCAAGAAGTGAGATGGAGGTAATCAGCATATGATAAGCATAACTTTAAACATTAGGTCAAGAATATTTTTACGTAAATTAATGCCAACTTCTGCTACCATTTAGAATTATTATTGGGACTCAGTAACAACGGGTACTCAAACGGGCCACATTCAAGTATCTACAGCTGAGGTAGATCTTCGATTATATCACCCACTCATAGACACAAACAGCAGCACTTTCGAAAGACCTACAAGATGTAGGCATCCATGCCAATGCGCGATTCGTAAGGCTAAGTATTTTTTAGCAGAAATTCGAGGCAAAGTTTTGATTTACATCTTTCCATAGGATCACGACTTCGCAGACAATCCACAGTACTCAACTCCCGTCAGGGAACTCCAGATGGAGTTAAGAGCATCACATCAACGTGTCAGTCGCCTAGAGACTCAGCTAAACACCTTAAGCAGGGTCCACATGGCTTTGATAACAGGAAAATCTCCTAATGAGGCCTTACAATGGGACTGTGGCATAGGCGAAAGAAAATCTACCCATGAAAGGTTCGTTTTGACAATAAATGAGGTGATAATTCTGTAAAGCTGCAAACACATACAAATGCACTTTCACAACACACTCCTCCACCCTACCTTGTTCTATCGCTTCCTATGAAGTTGTCAAAAAATTGTATCTCTGATGATCAACATAATCATCCTTTACCAGCATGCAGGAGGAGCACAAAGTTGAGAACCATGCCACTGATGGGGAGACATTGTTAAAGGACACTGAACATTTTTACCTGTCATGTCACTGTTGACCTTCGCATAAAGTTTTTGTGGCATTTCACACAAAACAGGTTTGGTCATGTTGATCTTTTCTAATGGATATTTTGTAACCAAATCGTTTGATGCAATGTGTAGTCAGAGGCACCTCTTATTGTTTTCACTCGAATTTTGCTCTCCTGGAGCATTAAAGCGGCCTTTGGGGTCATTCTTAGTTCCATTTAGCACTAAGACGTACTGAAATCCTTGAACTTGTTAGTATTTTTTACCATTTTCTTAATATTAGTAGTTCATTATCTTGAGGGAGTAAAAGGTCGTTTTATCATGCCTTCTCTTTATTTTTCGCTCTTCCAAATTTAAATATTTGTCCCAGTTGTTTCGTCGGATTTTATTATTTGTCAGTTTCAAAATGTGGGTCCTTCCAATGCCACTTCTCTAAGCCACCATTTTTTCTATCAGAGTGTTAGGAATAGCCCTTTAACAATCGTGCCAACTTCCTTCCATTTGGAAGAGTCGCGAGTGCGCCACTTAAAACAACTGATGCATTTTAAAGAAAAGAAATGGCAAGTAGAAGGTAATTTTAGGGCAAATAAACAACACTGTTATGGAAGCCAAACCAAGCAACACTGCAACGGCATCATACCTCAAAATAATATCATTCTTTTGAAGGATACCCAACATCGGTCGTCCAGTCAACATGGAGGACGAGTCCTGCGTTTCCTATTGGCGTGCTATTGCTGAAAAACGCACCAACGATGTTGCTCTCCTGAGCAAGGAGGTGGATAAGCTCACCAACTTGTTAGAGGAAATAAGCACGCGAATACCACCTGCAACAGGTCTGTCTATTCAACTCAGTGAGGAGGGTGTTTAGTTGCTATGGTAATGATGTTTCAGTGAGGCTACATTGATCAAGTTTAGTGCTTTTGCTGGGATTGTGGTGATTTGTTGGAGAATATTTGCTTGATTAAATACTGCTCTGCGCCAGGAAGCGAGTAAATTTCCCCTTCTCTGAGCGTCCACAATCTACACAATGAAAATCTCCGCAAAATGGGCAAAGTATAGACAACAAAATATTTCTGCGGATGGATGTAATATGAATAGTAAAGGAATGATGAACGAATACGACATCGGGAAGGGGAGGAGAAATTTAAAAAAAATTAAATCACAGAGAAGATAGACCGTCAAAGTCGCATAAGCTGGTTTATTTGTTGTAAGGGCCGGAGATGGCCACAAAGCCCTAGCGATAACATTTAGGTTAAAGGTATCTGTATAGCAACAATGTTGCCATTTACCCGTTTGAATAGAAACAAGACATCAAATCCACAATGCACAAATAAAAAAAACTGCAGTTTTAAAAGGATAAAATTAATGTTACCGTGAATTGGGCGTTAGACAGTTAAGAAAATCAGGCAGGTTTTCTGCCCCTTCTATCCTCATTCCTTTGGCCTCTTTCTTCTTTCTCAAGGCCTGTTTAGCGGTTTCTTATAAATTCTGATCGGAGAATGGAGCAGATGTACGAAACGCTTTAATTTTATTGTTTGATCATGTAGTTTTCCCAAGGATCATCCAACAACCACGTTTATTCCTCACCTTAGCTGCAC